AAAAAAAAAAAATTGACCAAATTATTATTTCTATTCAGTTATTTGATTTTGGACGGTCATAGCTGAGGTCTTGGGGTTTGGATTTGGAGGACACGAGTCCCACTACGGACAGTTTTTTAAATTTTTTGGCATTGGCAACTCAAAGTACACCTCAGCAATGTGCAGTGAATTTTACCTTAATGGACACCAACGCGAATAGAATAAATTCAAATATTCTCCCATTCAAAAAGCTGCGCAGCAACTGGCCTGTTCTCTGACGGCTACTTTGTACTCACCGTTCTCTTTTTGTCACAGTCTGTGTTTCGGTGAAGAATTCCCCACAACCAGTCGTTTGGAAAATGAATGTGCGCGGCTCACTTTGAAAAAGCTATTTGGAAAAGTAAACCAAAGGCAAAACATTGTGTTTCTCTTTCTCTGCCCCCCTTCCTGGTGCAAATGCGGCACTTCATTATACAATTGTGCATGCAATTATACACGGGCGACAAGGCGGGCAGACAGAACGCGTGTGGAAGTCATCACCTCCAATTATTTAGGAGGGGAAAGCAACGGCACCCATTTCACAAAGCTTTCCTACCAAACGTAAAATGGTGAACGTGTAGCTCGTCACCATCCTTCTCCCTCTTTGTCTCCTTACAGCAGGAGGTAGACAACCGGAGAGCCGTTGTCCTGCCTGTTTTCGAAGTTTCCCAACTTAACATGCCTGATTCTAACGATCGGGGGCCATTCGCAGGCCTCGACAGATCTTGCTGGTGAGCCGATGATTTGAATCATGTGCGGTGAGGTGGGAAACTTCGAAAACAGGCGGGAGAGCAGCTCGCGAGGACCCGAGTTTCAAACCACCGCCTCATAGGTTCTTTCTTCCCTCCAATAAATTTGTCTCAACATGGATGTTGTTGAACCTAAAGATTTTTTTTTTGTAAGCCAGAAAGATTTCTCATTAAAGCTTTGCAACGTTTTAGTTGACTTTGCAATTTTAACCAGCCCCAGAGAAGTGAGCACGTGATTTCAAGCAAAATGAAGTCCATAGTATCGGATGTGCGTACGACAGAAGGGGTTCCAAGGAAAAGACATGTAATTGCTTAACTCCTCTCTTTATCGGATTCTATTGGAGTCGTAGTGTCAATTCTTGCTGCGCTGAGGAAAAAAAAATAAATGAGAGAAAGATTGAATCCAGCAACTGCCAGGTGGGACAAAGCGCAAACCAGCTGGGAGACGGAACAGCTGCTACCAGTAGCTCAGGTGTTTAAGCTAATGCGCTTCAACCCTTCAACAGCCACTTGTCCCAGCACTACTTCCCGTACCAACTGATGTTAGCATCTTTCAAATGAGATGAAGATAACGCTGCTTGCACAGAAAACTGCCAAATGGGAAAATGAGGTCAAATAAGGTCTTGTGTCCACTGCCGAAGCCTAAAAACGGTTGCTGAAGTCGACAGTCTACATACGTTGTTGGTGGTGTCCCGTTCAAAACGGTGCTGCATGCGGCCCAGGCAAAGCTGTTTGTCCAGTGTTGAAAAGGTGTCTTCGATTTCTGAAGGTCAATAAGATCTGTCTCTGTCACACACGATGAGTTCAACACTTTGTATTGCTAATTTCAATAGAGGACGTTACAAAGGCATCATCGTGTGGCGTCGATCGTATCTGCCTCAACTCACAGTTGAATATCTGTGTGGCACTGGCGTGCTCTCTTAGCGTTTGTGTGGGTTTTCCCTGGGTACTCCTGTTCCCTCCCACGTTCCAAAATACATCCAGCCATCCATTTTCTAAGCCGCTGATCCTCTTTCGGGTCACAAGGGTGCTGGAGCCTATTCCAGATGACTTCGGGCGAGAGGCAGCCAATTGCAGGGCAGATACTGGATCGTCAAACGGAGGCAAACAACCATTCACACCCACAATCGCACCAAAGGACAATTTGGAGTCTTCAGTCAACCTAATCTCAAATCTGACAAAGGGTTTTTAAAATGTTGAGCCAAAAGCAAAAAGAGAATGGATTGGATTTAGAAAAAAAAACAAAGATTGTAGCGCTACTCATTTGTCAAGAATTCTGATGCGGCAACACCTCTACTTGCGCGTTAACTGTATGCATTTTTCTCAGGGAAACCAGCCCCCTCAATTGGGATGTTTTTCTTTTTTTTTAATTTTGTACGAAATGCAGTACACATATAAAACACATGAACAGAAACTGACCCGAGTAAATATTTTGAATACAAATATAAAATCGTATCTTTGCTTCTCTTCTGAAATAGGCTTAAATATTTACACATCAACATGACACGACGGGTGCGTGCTTCTCTCATTCAAATTCAAACAGAGGATCGCGGTGCTCTCTCGGGACACCTAAAATGCTTCCGAGCTCGCAAAAAAAAATAATAATAATAAAATCACCTTCCTCCGACCTAATAACATCAACAGTGAGCTACCACTACACGCAACAAAATTATATATATATATATACTGTATATACACACACACACACACACACACACACACACATACACACACACACGCGCACACACATACATACACATATCCATCCATTTCCTAAAGCGCTTATCCTCACGAAGTTCGCAGGCGTGCCGGAGCCTATCCCTGCCTGAATTAGGGCAGTAGGCGAGTTACACCCTGAACCGGTTGCCAGCCAACCGCAGGGCATACATGGACCAACCACCATTCACACTCACAATAACACTTCGATACAATTTAGAGAGATCAATTGACCGACTGTGCATATTTTTGGAATGCGGGAGGAAAACCGCAGAAGCCGGAGAAAACTACATCAGCACAGGGAGAACACATAAACTACACACAGGAGGTGGGAGCACAGATTCGAACGATCTCGGCAATGCGAGGCGCGGACGCGCCAACGACTTGTTCACCGTGTTGGCCATATATATAGCCTATTCCAGCCTGACTTGGGGCATTAGGCGGAGTACACCATGAACCGGTTAACAGCCACAGGGCACACATTACGAACAACCATCCGTGCTCACAATCACACCTATTGACAATATGGAGTGTTCAACTAACCTGCCATGCATGTTTTTGGAATGTGTTATTATATTTACTGACTTTTTGAACTCAAATTAGGTGTGACTCCTATTTTGTGATCAAGAGCATTCTCCAATTTGAGCATACTGTGACTTGTATTCTGCGATGGAGGGGAGTCACACTGGCGAAACAATACAATGGCAAAGCAAAGTGTTTTTGATACTGTGAAATGCTCAAACCATGTTTGAAAATCTTTGATGTCATGACAAGTGAGCTCAACATGATTCAAACAATTCAGCTCAGCCTCAAGTAGCATTATGTCGAACAGGAAACCATGGAAACTCTCATCCATCAGAACTTGGTTTGGCAACTGGAATGATCGGAGATAGAACACGTAAGAGACACACCCAATGTAAAACCTATAAAATATGACGAAACATCAGCAACCACAAATACCGGCTAACACCCGTAAGACAAAATTACTCCACTGTTACCTGCTTTATTTTTCTTTCACTTCTCTCCCTCTCTCTCTCTCTCTCTCTCTCTCTCTCTCTCTCTCTCTCTCTCTCTCAATCTGAGACACGTGCGAATGCAGACCAGTGTGATTTTTACTTTTAAAATTTTGTTTTGTCTTTATTTTTAAACAACAGCAACACCATGACGCCAGTTGTCATCATTGTTCTCCTTTTGTCTGTTACGGCCGTTTCTCCGGTAAGATCAACTTGACAAACCTACAATTATTGGAAAATCACAATCCTTTTGAAAGTCGTATCTGTCGTTTTCATGTAATTTGATCAATGATGGTGAAGACAAACATTTATGAATTTTACCGATAGACTGAAAAAAATAAAGTGGTGTGATGAATTTGCTCAATTTTATTTTGTCAAGTGGCTGCACACAATAGAATAATCTGGCTTTAGATGCATTTTTAAAGTAGTATAATGTACTTTTTAAAAAATGATCTGGATCCGGATGATTTTGTTTCATGCAACCACTTGAAATAAAGTATTTGAATAATTGGCAGGGCAGTTGTTATCAGTGAAAGAGTATTGATCGTTTCTGAGCAAAAAAGTGTTACTTTTCAAACTTTTAATGCCAAAAAGTTTTTACTGCTATGAGATGAGCCTTGATGATTTGTAACGTATTTTCTGAAGATTCTAATTCCATTTTTGGATCGATCGGATTTTTCTCCTATTGCTTAATATGCATTTTCCCTGGAATCGAATGAAAGTCTATACTGTATATCGATGTCTTCAGAGTTCTTTTTTTGGGTGGGCAGGTGCTTCTACAAATGGTGCATCTTTTTCAGTCAAGCTCTCTTTACCATGAATGCCACTGTAGATCGCCTTGTCATGTTGTTACAATACGCCGGAGAGCTCTGCGAGCTGAAGTGTCAGGATAAGACAGCCAATCATTCATTTTAAATCATCAATAACATTTTGAAAATAGGACCTTCGGCATGGCTGTTTCAGCACGGGAGACTTTTACACAGGTCAAACCAAGGCAGGACACATACAAGTCTTGCTTTACTTTTTTTATTTACAAGTGTCTTTACTATTATTGGTCAAAATGAAAATGATCAATAGACATAGAGTAATATATCTTTGATTCCATGTGAGCGTGGATATAAAATGGAGAATTAAAAAACGTGATTCAAAAAAGTTTTTTTTTTCAGGTCCCAATAAGTGAAAACAACAGACAGAAAAGAGGTGCCTAAAATTAATTGTACAATTAGGTTGTTAAATTCAATCTGAAAAAGTTATAATGCTTCTTTTTGATTTTATTTGTTCTTCTTTTTCCAGAAGTCACATCCACTTTTGCGAAAATTGTAAAGGCAAATGAAAATGTCTCACGTAAGTGTTTTCATTTGACAATGAAATGATTAGGATGTACTGTGCTCTTTCTCTGTGCAATATCCAACTTGAACGAGAGAATCTTGAATGGTATTATTTTAAATGGTATTCTCATCGATTTTTTTTTTTTTTTTGTAATACAGATTGTTTTTAAATTTGAACTTAAGGTGATTAATCAGTAGGTCACATTGAATTTCCACAATTCATCCAATGTGTTCACAAAGCTTTTGTTCTGCGGGCAACAAAGAAATGAATCTAAAATCCAGCAAATCTGAAAAAAAAAATGGCATTCCAAAAGCTGCGGATTGCATTTCAAGTTAAGATTTCTTGTGCATCCTAATAGTGCAATGCTTTTGGTACATTTCTCAGAACAGAATTGAAATGATCAAAACTACTTGTCCGATCTTTCCATCATTGTGTCACTTGTGAATATCTAAAAAGTCGTTTCTCATTTCTTGGAGCAAGTTGCAAACAAATGCTTTGGCACAACCATGCCAACGATGATGTGCAATTCAAGATTATCAACTGCTTGCATCATGTTGATCAAAATGCATGACATTGGTTCTTTGTTGAATTGACTCGCATCCTACAACATTTTGCCATAAGTTCATCACCGAAATGGCTGAACAAGTTCTTTTTCTAACCAAAGTTAGATTGTGAAGCATTACATCAACCAATGATCAACCAGTTTTATGAAATAGTTCAGAGCAAGATAATCGTTGTGTGATGTGGATGAGAATTTGTAGCCCAAAGGAAGTAGCTGGACTGCACTGTAATCCCCACAGTGTTGGATGTTCAAATGATCCGTCAGGAGACTGTGCCGTGATCACAATTTTACTTGATAAATTTGGGGTTTTTTGGTGTGATGCAGTGCCGTCTTTTCCTTTCTGTAACACAATGGGATGGTTTGTCAAGAAATTACAGTGCAAACAGAAAAGCGCTGAAGTGGGGCGGAATCCTCGTAGAGCCAAAATAATCGCTTTTTAGGAGATCCCAAAAACGTCCCGTTTGTTGAACCATTCACATTGCATCATCAAAGAGAGGAAGCCATTTTCACCCCTTTAGATTGATCAATCATTTGGAAAAATAGCACCTACACATGTGGACTGACCAATCGTACAGACTCGTGAGATAATATGAAATTTATCAAAAACTGATATAGACGGTTTCGACCTGATGCCGGCAAAAAGTAAAATGTGAAGCTTGCCCAGTCTCTTGCAATCAATTTGCCACAAATACAAAGGTGTACCTTTCAATTTAGAACGCGGAATTGTCGTCAAACCTTAAGGGGCAGTTTATGCCAGACCATCCCTTCAGCATGACAAAGCAAATCTTATATGCTCAGAATAACAGAAAAATGTATCACTCTGATGGCAATGCCATGTTCAATGACTCAAAAGATTTACTTTTGATAGATGTTGAAATGATTTTGAGAAGTAAATTATTTATTTTGCAGGGCAGCCATGATGTTTTTTACTATTTGTACAAGTTGTTTTGAGAAATGCCCTCACTAATTTGCAAATTGCAATGTACCAACCCAACTGAGAAAAACTGGATTATGTTGTGACTTTTCGCTTTCCATGAGAATTTAACGTCTCAGTAGTTTACCGAGCACCTTACTGTCTTAAAATATATAGTTTGGAGTTTCTCAACCAGTGAGCCAAGGTAGCCTCTGCAACATACCTGTACATACCTTGGGTCAAAGGTTTACAACGTGTAAGATATATATAAAAAAATAAAATAAAATGCTCTCACCCCTCGGGTGGTTTCCGTCCCCCCATTCAGCTCGGGTCCTCTTCCAGAGGCCAGGAAGCTTGAGGATTCTGCGCAGTATCCTTGCTGTTCCCAGCACTGCGCTTTTCTGGACTGAGATGTCCGATGTTGTTCCCGGGATGCGTTGCAACCACTCATCCAGTTTGGGGCTCACTGGCCCGAGTGCTGCGAGCTCGTGCCTGCGGTGTTCTGTCACCTTTCCCTTCCGGGCTCTCTCCAGCTCCTCTCTGAGCCCTT